GTAATATTTTGTTGATCGAGCTGATATATTTCCTGCCTTGATCGGGGGAAGTAAATTGTAGTGGTCTCCCCTCTGGAGAGGAGAGTTTCATCGTTGCTGAGTATGTGAGGATGAATTTAAGCCGCAGCTGACACACCTCGTGGAAGGCTTTCCACTGCTTTGTAAGCTCAGCTGAATAGTCGGCGAATAATAGTAACTTGTGCCCTCCCGCTACCAGATTGCGTTGTGAGCGGTAAGCCTGGAGTAGTAGATTTTTTTCAGAGTAGTCCAGATATCGCACAATCACTGGCCTGGGTTTAGTGTTGATGTAATCTATGGGGGAGCCCACTCTGTGTGCCCTCTCCACTTTATAAGGCTGTGCTGATCCCAGTGCCTGTGGTATGACTGATTAACAAAAGTGGGCAAGGTCAGCTGGCTTGGCAGATTCAGGTAGGCCTATGACCCTTATGTTATTCCTGCGGGAACGATTTTCCAAATCATCCACTTTATCACAAAGATATTTTACTGTTTTAGACATTTGATCTAGTTTTCTGTGTGTGGAAAATGACGGAGCCGCATGTGGCTCTTTCATCCCTCTGCTGCGGCTCCCTGTCCAGGGGCGAAACAGCCCCTGGGGCCTGAGGCTATGGGGGGGCCCAGTGAGGCCTGGTCCTGGGCACCCCCCCCTGGTGGAATATGCGGTAGTGCAGGGTCTCAGGGCCCCGCACTGCCGATGGGCTAATCAGTAAGGGGATGGGTCTTGTGACTCAGCTACTCTCCTGGCCGCGTCCCTAGTAAAAGGCAGGAGAGGAGAAGTGTGTGTAGCATAAAGGTAAAAAACGATATATGCAGTGCTATCTTCATTTTAGATGTCAAAAGAGTTTGTGGCTCCCGGTGTTTTCTTTTCTGTGGGAAACGGGCCCAAATGGCTCTTTGAGTGTTTAAGGTTGCTGACCTGTGGTCTAGATCATTCACTCTATTTTCAATTTGCTTGATTTGATTTCCTTGTGATGTTAGTGAGGCATTTAGTTTCCCTAGATGCTGCTGCAGAGAGTCTGCGATAATATGGGTCAGGTCTGGCTTTAAGTGGGAGGCAACAGCTGCAGCCAGTGTCTGGTAGTCTATTTGTCCCTGCAGGGGAGGTGGTTGTGACTCACCAGAGAGATCCATCGTCAAGTCAGATTGCTGAGTGACAATGGCGGCCATCTTGGATTTGTCCCGGTCGTCTGTGAGGGACTGTTCCAAGGCTCTCCTGGTCGGCTGGGCTCGCGAAAGATAGCGGTCCATAGCCTGTGCTGTATCTCCTGCTGTGCGGGTAAGTCGCTGTGACTGTTGTGGAGTATGATCGGCTGGTCTCGGGGGTGTTCGGCGGGACGGAGCTCCGGGAGACATGGCTAAGTAATCTGGCGCCGGAACCAGAAGTTACCAGGATTTAATTTTTTTTTTAAATGGTCTAATTTTCCTGTAGTTGGCATGCATTTATAAAGTCTTGAGCTTTTCCAAAGGGGACACTCCTTCCTTTAAGGTACCTACCACCATGAATCTGGCAGCAAATTTGATCCATTGCTATTGCTTGGTGGGCTTCGTATCCACACTCAGTTCTCAACCTTTTTTTAACCCCTTCATGACTGAGGCCCTTTTTTCATTTTTTGCACCCATGTTATATTCCACATTTTAGGCCTGAAAATTACGTAAAACCCCCCAACATTATATATTTTCTGAATGCCAAGACCCTATAGAATAAAATGGTGGTAGTTGAAAATTTTTATGTTGCGCAATATTAGCGCAACTCCTTATTAAACCCCAAAATTTAGTGACAAATTTAATTAAATGCCCCAAAACACAACAAATTACCCATTTTTTTAATGAAATATAAAAGATGAGGTTACAACGAGTAAAACGATACCCAACATGCCCAGTTTACAAATTGCGTGCGACCGTGAAACGGCGAAAAACTGCAGTACCCCAAAAAGTCAATAAAAGACGCTTTAAACGCCCCCACAGGTCATCAATTTAGAGATACCCCAAAATACTGGCCCTAGAATTATTGCTCTCACTCCGGCGTGCGCGGCGATACCCAACATGTGTAGCGCGTTCGGCGTTTTCATGCGTAGGCGCTCCCGACGCGTTTACGTGGCGACGCGCGTGCTCGCGGGGGCGCAAAAATCCCTCAGTAGGGGCCTGTTGGCAGTAGGTGTTGACACTCAACTTATCGCTTAACCAGATACTTTTTAACTTGTATGTTAAATGCGGCACTAGATGCTAGCAAGGTCATGTCTTGGGTAACCCTTTCTTCTGTCCAGATCTGCAAGGCCCTCTGGCATAAGTGCTGGTTGGCAGGACAACACTGTGAGGCTTAGTTGTGGCTATCCTTTGTGGGAGATCATCAAGAAGCACATCACATATGAAATGTGAGGCAACAGCCATCTGATCCACACAATCAATAAAATGTGGAGCAACTCCAGCAGTCACCTGTTCTGTACTTAAAGATTTTGTCCAAGCATCTAAAGTCTGTAAAATAAGTATCTTAACCATTAAAGGGTTGAAGAGCAGCACTAGTTAACAAATAAATTTAATTAGAAAGATCCTCCAATTTTTTGTCCGTATTATCCTTAAATGAAGGAACATCATCAATAGGAACAGTCAATGCCTTGTTAAGATGAGAAATTGTAGGATCAACGTCAGGAGGTATAGACCATTTTTTAACAAAATCATCCAGAAAAGGATACAGATACTTAAAGTCTCTAGGAACAAGAAATTGCTGATCCAGAATGCCCTAATCCTTATATAAACAACAAAAATAGAATGAAGATGTGTGCTGGAGGCAGCTGCATAACAACTCTACGTCTCAGAATTCTTAAAAGCGGTGTCCCTCAATGGACGATAAGAGCAGAGGGAAGTTTCGACTACATCCACTATAGCGTCGGATTATTAAACCATGGGGTAATTGCTACCCACCCTCTAACCGAAAAATGTAAAGGTTTTTATTCTTATTATTTATATCTTATTATTATTAGTTATATTTTAGAGTGAATCTTCACACTGAAAAGAGAGGGTATAGCAGGAACATTATTTATGGATTCCTAATTTATAATTACAGTGTAATGTGGTTTTCTCTTTTTAAGTTATTTTAATATAAATGAATCTAAACTAAAGAAATGAAAAAATTAAAAGCAGAGCAAATTCAGTGAAAAAACTTGAAGGAAACAAGTGATGAATCATAAGAAAGTTTTTGCACTTACTATTTGAATTGTTGATTCCAGTTCCTCTATTCTTTGTTCTAAGTAGGCTCTATCACTGATAGCAGTCTCCTGAGAAATCTATAGGAAAAGAAACAAACTTATTTGTTGCTAGAGTTCGATCAAAGCTTCAAAGTGACCAGTTTTTCTATCATATTGTTTAAGTGAACCTGACCTGGCTTAAACTTTCTGAGATGACAACAGTGCTGAAGTGCAGGGAAGTGCATTGCCTGGAAGTAGCCATGTTAAGCTGGCTATACATTATGTAAATATTGTCCAGTTCTTCAGGAACTGGCCAAAATGCGCACAGTGGGTGCCACCATCGGCACCCTTTCGGCCGGGATCCCTTAATCAGCTGATCACATTTACATGCAAACCAAGTGTGAGAGGTTGGTAACAAACTATGAAACTACCAGAGGTGTTTGTACAATTGCAACACCAGTGCTTTTTTAAGAGAATAGAAACAATGGTTATAAAAGGAAACTGTTGTAAGCACCAGAAAGTTTAACAGTTTGTCCTAAACCCTGTCGTAGTCACTTTCAGTATGCATGTATATGCAGAGAAAATGTAAATAGGTGCACACAAAATGAAAAAAAAAATCATATTCTGAATACTATAGTATTGCATTTGTTTTTTAAGAGTCGCAAAGGAACACATGATGCCAGTATAATAAATATTCTATGTCCACGTTACACTGCTTACCTTCATCCTCTCCCTTAGGCTATCTCGCTCTGTGGTCATTCGGCGTAAATCTGAAATAGCACTGTCACGTTCATTCTCCACATGTCGTAGAATAGTTTGAGTTGTTAAGCTGGTTTTGGATGTCTTTGGGGACCGCATGAGCTCTCTTCGAAGCTGTGTAATTTCTTGTTGTGCCTAAAAAAGGAACACCATATAAAAAATTTGTACCGAGAAAAGTACTTGAAAAATACAAGCCTGGTCCTTCTATACTGAACTAAACTGCAATCCTAGTTACTACGGTTCACTGTCATTGCACTAAATGCGTTTTTTTAATTGCACTTTTATGCATAATGACAAAAATATTTTTACTTTACATCTATTCACACTTTCTCTATTTACTATATTAATTCAGTGGCTTTTATTTGTAAACTCATGTCAAGCTAACTGGGCATCACTGGCTTCTCTCAAGTAGCAAACAGAGCTAACTAGCATCCCCAGCACATACTTTGTATCACTGTATGTTGTTGGGGTGTTCCAGCAAGTTCCACCCATGAACACTATTACCAGCGTATTAGTCTAGTTATGATCATTTTGCATACTTTTTATAAGTAATGCTGTTAAAATGTATAAGGCACCAACTTTATTGCCTAGTCTTTGCAACTTACTGGTTATATAAATATAAATGATACAAATGCAAAACAAGGCTCTATATTAGAATGTGGGTACAATCCTCAATTATAAATGTTATTTTACATTTCTTTAGGGGAGTTCCTAATACAATTGTGTCATAAATCATATCAACAATATTCGTAAACACAATCTGTCATTGATAGTTTTAGGTCTGTCACACACTGTACACTTTGTATTGTACAGACAACCTACTATGGTGCCACCAGACATTTACCACAGTACAGTAAACTAAATGACTGAAAAGTTTTGGTTGGCAATTATGGTGAAGGTGCTGCTATGTACTATAAGGGATAGTTATCGGTTTTGTTGTAAAGCAAGGCAGTGATAAACAGGAATGATGAGATAGATTTATGATAACTAGGCAGCTTCATTTATGAATTCATATCTCTGCTGCTCTAAAGTAGTACTGAAAGAATAAAACCTGTGTGTTTAAATTGTTGAGTGAATGTGTCTTTTCTCCAGTGCAAATCTTTCTAATTTACCTACCCAGGATTACAGGTTCAGGGGTTGAAATGCACATAAAAACTGGCGCACAGACTTTGCTAAACGACAGACAGTCTGATTTGCATCTAAATTTTTCAATTTGTTGCCGACTATGCTGCTAACATAATAAAATATATACTTCCTTTGTTCTGATATTACAATCACTTGATATCTGAACAATGATCAAATGTCAATAATTAGAGTTTAATAAGTTTACCCTCTCATAAAGTGCATTGGTCTTGTCTCGCTCCGATGTCAGAACTTTGACATTAGCCTGGATTTCTGCCATGTGTCGCTCATACTTTGTTAGCATGTCCTGGAGCTCATCTCGTTCCCGAATGCTCCTTTTGATTTCAGAATCATGCTGTGAAAATAGAATAATAAACAACATTACAAAGGTGACCCTCCATTTGAAAAAAAAAAAAAAGATTTTTGTAATTGCTTAAACATTATTTTTTATGGAGTCAATTGAGGGACACAGGAAGTCATATACTGTTGGGTTACACTGCCACCTACAGGAGGATTGGTCAACGGCTAACATATAATCTGTAGGTGAGCCCAGGATAACCCCTACTACTCCCAGCATGTCTCAGTTTGTAGCAAGTAGTACAACGAGCATGTTCACACACACATAGGAGTGGGACCTGTGTTTCTTCATAAGTTTCAAGAAAATAATTTAACGGTGAGTACAAAAATACTTTTTTCTTTATCGTCTATTGAGAGACACAAGAAGGACTATACTGTTAAGACATCCAAAAGCAGTTCAACTAAGGGTGGGTAACAGCAAACAGGCCCAACAAGAACAAAGGTGGGGAACGGTATGCAGCTCAAGAACCACCTAAAAGACCAACACCTAAAGCCGAGCCCCCCAACCTGGTGTGAAGAGGTCAAGAGCAGGTGGTAAGTTAGAAAACTTACCACCTGCTGGCATCAGGCTGAGGAAACTAAGCCTGATGCCAGAAAAACAAGAGAATATCTACTAGTGAGGAATAACACAATATGGGATGGATCCATCATACACCATAATGTAGAAACTGGTCTACCTGATCCAATCACATGGGTGGAACGAGAAAACAGTTTTCAACAAGAAGGAGAAGGAACTCCTCTCCAATAATTGAGACCAAACAGAGTAAGCTGAGAATAATGTCCTGGTAAAAGTCAACCAGAGCCGCCCTAGATTAGAGAAGACACTAAGCCTCAACTCACCTGATCCCTGGCAAGATCTTTGCAGCTGTAGGAGCTCTGAGGGACCCAAGACTGGAGACAGCAGGCTGATCCTCCAAATACAGGGTAAGACATACAACATCAATAGGTCAACAGACATCTACAGACATGTTGCCACCACATGGCGGTGATGCAAATAAGCTCAGGGTGTGAGGCAAGGCCTCAGGTATTTACAAAAGAACCCAGACAGCTGGTAACCGGTGGGAATTAGATGGTCAGAGGTAATCAAGTCACTGTAAGACGAGCAGTAGGAACAGATCGGAGATAAGAGTTCCACGTGGCTCTTTGCAAAGCAGGAGCAGCAATGGGGAGATGCTTCCTTAATGCTGAATGACTGGATGAGAGTGCAGAGCATGCATAACATTCTACCCACAGAAGATGCGTTACCCTCTTCCACAGTAAAGCTGTTGAAAAGCGGAAAATTTAAAGGCACTCAGCGGTCCCAACAATGAGGTATCTTTGGGTGCTCAGTCGGATTAACCTACTCTAAGAGTGGGTATTCAGAGACAAAGCAAGAACTAAAGCAATGCCAAAGGCTCTGGACCTGGAAAGTGCCCCACGGCTAATATTTTACCAGAATGGGGTCTCGAAGCGTTATGTGGAACCCAGTGTCCCAAAGGTCATTCCTAGGATAGCCCCATAATGTCCAGTCCAGTAGGGTCTGGGTACAGTACTCTAAATCTAGGCTGAGGAAACTGTGAGGGAGAGAGATTCTTGATTGAAGAAAAAATGAAGAATGGAAGAAAAAATTTGCTAGCAAAAATTAGATTAGGCATTTCCCCCAAAATATATATATATATATCTTTCTAGGACACTAGCAAATAACTTAGGCATGCTGGGAGTAGAATGGGTTATCCTGGGTTGTCCTACAGATTATTTGTTTGCCAGTGTTCAATCCTCCTGTAGGTGGCATTAACCTCATGCAATATATGGCTTCCTGTGTCCATCAATTCATGAAAAAGAAAAGTATTTACGTAGTCTTTTCTCATACCAAATTTACATAGAAAATGCTGAAAGCATTTGTCAAAACATGTACAGAAGAGTCAGGTTATCAATAATAAAATATCTTCAAGAATAAGTCCATTTTAACACACTTTATCTGCTTTAATGTATAGTATATATGCATAGCTAAAGCCTGTTTTCTCTCTTATGATGTTGTGAGAGCTATGCATCCATCTGCAACCAGTTCAGATTTCTCTACTGCCTAATAAAGCTGACTGACAACTCCTTCAACAAAGCCTAGTTTGATCAAAGAAAGCCTGCCTAGCATCCTTATAGATGTTCACAACTCTAACGCTACTTTACAACACACACAGGGACCATAGGGAAGAAAAGTAGCCACCCTCCAGAAGGAAGGACAGTGTCAGCACCAATTCAGAGATGATTTGAGGAACTACAGCTGAGTGATACACAAATAAGTTACATTGTTAATAGTTAAGGAACCTAAATGCATTTTTAGGATTTAACTCCTGAGTTTAGTATCACTTCAATAACACTGGAACTGGAAGCTCCCTGCTTCTAGTACAACATGTAGCCACTACTATATCTAAGTAGATTCTGGACTATCAAGCTTCTCACAACAGGCCAGACAAGTGCAAGGTCAAAATAATGGTTTGATTTTATTATTGTCCCAAAGGTGAACTAGTTCTTTAGGCTTCCACTCACTACAGGGCTGTTCGTCATAATACACCTCAGACAGATCATCACCCCAATGTTATTATTATTTCAGTTAAATAATAGTTCTACACTATACTGCTGCTGCTACTGTTGAAAAGCTCCATCTTGAGGTGTCCACATTAATACCAATTAAAACTTAAGTGGTTGAAGATGAGACCCAACCCTGAGTTTGAACCCGCTTCTAATCCGAGAGGCAGACAGACCGCACCATATTGTTATTTCATACTGATGGATCTCATCCCTGCAATAATATCACTGAATGCATGTCAAAACACCAGCTTCCACCCCATATTCCCTTTGTGCCATACTAAGGATACTACAGTATATGAAATTACCTTTTGCACTTAATTAGCAGTACAGCACATGCAGCCATTATACTGTTGATTTTCAGCTCCAAATAAGATTGACTCTCTGCTAACTGGAAAGTAATCTACTAGATAACCTACTAAGACCACACTTAATATTTCTTGCCTAACATATCAAGTCTAACCCTAACAACCAAGTCCACACAAGCCTTTGACTTTTTCTGGAAAAAATATGAAAAATATACTGATTTTCAGGGAGGTAAAAAACAAGAGGGGCCAATCAAATTTCCAGATGGGAAGAGAAAGGTGCGAATGTCACCAGTATTACACTGGTACACAGTACATCCAGATAGTGGATTATGTAATATCACGACACAGGACTCCTGCGTGGTGACAGATATGAAGAGATCCATGAGTACAGCTTGGAAGAGTAATCTCATGTGTACGCTCAGGCCTTGGTTCTCAACTGGTGGGTCGTGACCCAAAAGTGGGTCGCGCGTGTTCAGTGGGTTGCCGTGTGCCTTCCACTTTTCTAGGTAAGAGTCCCTTAGCCTTCTCCTAGCGCAGCAATGTCAGTTCTCATGCAGAGCAGCCATTTAGAATATGCTGCCTGGCGTTGAGTGTCAGCTTGAGGTGGGCTGGAGCTAGGGCCACGAGGGAGCTCCATTCATACATGCATTGCTTACAGCTCCCTCACGTGCCCTGTAGAGGTGCCTGGAGCGGAGTCACATCACATTCTGGCTCCCGTCATCTCTACAGGGCGCACATGGGAGTTGTACAAGCAATGCACATATGGATGGAGCTCCGTCACAGCACAGCACAGCACTGGACCCCTGGCTGAGGATCCACTCCAGTTCTCGAAATGGCACCCCAAACACAGCTCCCGCCCACAGTTCAATCGCCCGGAACGCACAATACCGCAATGCCGTGCGTTCTATTGCAGTGTGACTTGGGTCACCACTTAATGACCAAGGACAAATATGGGTCCTGAGGATACACAGGTTGAGAACCACTGCTCTAAAATATACTTTCTGCTGTCATTTAACAGGTTTGTGCTTACCCAGGAGGGACTGCGTTTGGGACTAATACTACGACCTCTAAGCATTCTTCTCAAATGCTCTGTTTCGCTCTTGTAGTAATCTCTTTCTTCCTCCAGGCTTTTAACAAATGAGTCCAGTTTAGAGGGAGATGTTGCTTTACTCTTTTCTGTTACTAAAATTATTTTCTTTTCTATTAAATAAAGGGAAAACACATCTATAACAAAACTGTTATAACATATAAGAACAGTATTCAGTGTCATAAATATCCTTAGGTTCACACCTAGGCGACTGAGCTGGTGAGCTGTTTTCACGCGGTTGTCACACATTTTTGTTTGCGTGATTTTGCTTTGAAAACCACACGGTTGACGCACGGTTTTCAATGCATAGAGATGTCTATGGGACCCAAACCGCGGGACAGCTGCCCCAAAATAGCTCCTGCACCTGCTTGCGCGACAGGCGATTTCTAGTGCACGACAAATCGCAAAGGTGTGAACAGCTTCCACAGGCTTTAATGAAAATCTGTTTTGTGCGATATCGCGAGGCTGAATTCGCGTGATAAATTGCCCAGGTGTGAACTTATTTAGGCTAAGATCACAACCAGGCGATTGAGCTGGTGAGTTGTTTTCGTGTGGTTGTCACGCGTTTTCATTTGTGCGACTGTTCTTTGAAAACCTTGCGGATATCAATGCATAGAGATGTCAATGGGACCCACACCGCGCGACAACCGCCTGAAAATAGCTCCTGCACCCTTTTGCGTGACAGGTGATTTTGTCCTCACGACAAACCTCAAAGGTGTGAACAGCCTCTATTTTTTTAAATAAATTCCTTATTTATAAAACAACATATACAAGCAAGGCACATCTATAGGATGTAAATAGGATGTAATTAGCCGTCATAGGAGATAAGCATACAATACACTAGATCATCAGAACCACAGAAAATTTGTATTGTCAGTAATTACAGGTGAAACTCGAATAATTAGAATATCGTGCAAAAGTAATTGCAGTAAGTGCTGCAAAAGGGGCCCAAAGCAAGTACTGAGTACATATGCATGCTTGTACTTTTCAGAGGTCCGATATTGTTCTATGTACAATCCTTGTTTTATTGATTGCATGTAATAATCTACTTTTTTGAGGTTGTGGATTTGGGGTTCTTGGGGTTTTCATGAGCTGTAAGCCATAATCATCACAATTATGACAAATCACGGCTTGAATTATCTTGTTTTGCATGTAATGAGTCTATCTCATATATTAGTTTCACCTTTTAAGTTGCATTAGTGAAATAAATGAACTTTGCACAATATTCTAATTATTCGAGTTTCACCTGTATATGGCAGCGGCAAACCAAGCGCCAACCGTGCCCCAACCGAGCATTGATATTGTACTTGCAATAAGATGGTGCTCAGAAAGGGGGAACGGGAGACAAACAGCCCCCACTGACTTTGATGCAATTCTGTGTTTTGCCCGATATCTTGCGACTCAATCCATGCGATAAATCGCCTAGGTGTGAACCTAGCCTAAGGGTAACTATAACAGTTCAGAGCCAATTTTAATTTTTTGTTTAGAGTATAAATTTTAAACCCACATTCTGCATCTTGTTTACTATTTCAATAAATTGTTATTTTCTTTTTAGTTTTTGATTAGGAAGGGTAAGAACCTGTCGTTTTTCTTTTTTTGCTGTCTGCATTGGTTAGATTTTACCCTCAGTTGCCTTCTCAGTGACCTCACAAGAGATAAAAGGGAATCACCCAACTAGGGCACAGATAACATAAAAAAATTGGAAGAATTTTCAACTCTTCCTTATTCACTACCTTTGCACCCAAGTGACAGTGATGGCGCTTTGTAATTGGCTGCTGAAGGACCCAGCACTATTACTAGGGTAAGGAAAAATTCCTTAGCCCTGGTTAACTCTGACTAGAAAGACTTTACACGCGACTTCTTCTCTTTACTTTTACAGTTGAACAGTGGTGTGCGTCACATGAATTATTTATCTTTATGGGTTCGATATGGCTGCAGAAAGCATACTTATGCTCAAAAGTAAATTTTGCACAAATACGGATATTCAGTCATCTGAAGGGTGTTGGAAGCTGAATAGTCTTTGGTGGTCCAAGTTCTTCAGCAAAGTGACGATAGCCACGTGGTGCAGTAGTATTGACAGTCTATAACAGTGGCCTTCTATTTCAAAAATATACCTTGGTGACAGAGTCTCTTTAATATTCTACAGAATGTTTAATACATTGCAATGAAATTCTGCAATGTAATTTCACTAAGTTTACAGAAAGAGTATTGGTTTTCTGAAATTTTTTGGAGAACCAAATAATTTAAATTAAGTATATTTAACAGACAAAAAGGGAGAAAATACGAGAAGTTCATTGTTAAGGTTTACATGCACTTTAAAGGGGTTTTCTGGAATGTAACGTTTAATAAAGCGACTGAAAAATACCTGTTTTCTCTAGTTTTTCTACTTTCTTGCTCAATCTGCTGTTGTCCTCCTGCAGCTGATCTAATAGACCATTTATAGCTTTGTTCTCTTGTTTTGTTTCTTCGAGCTGAGCTTCAACTTTTTCTGAATGTTCCTTAGCAATGTCAGCATCCTGATTTTAAAAGCAAAAAGTACACTGTTTAATGTCTAATGCATATAAACACAAAAACATAAGGCTTCAGAACCAACATTCACCCTACTAAAAAAACAGATTAAGGCCTCATTCACACAGACAGTAGATTAAACACACTTCTAAAAAGTGATTTACGGTGAATCGCTTTTCAGAGGCAGTTCGGAGCTGCTTCACAGGAGTTTAAGAGGCAGTAATGTCATCTCCTGAATGTCTGTTTTTTTAAAATCCTAATCGGGATTTTACTTTGAAATACCACACAGCACCCTCATGCCAAGCTTCTGGCACACAGTTATGTGTGTGGTCCCATTTACTTCAATGGACGTGTTTGGCAAATGGGACATGCTATAAAACGTTTGCTGCAAGGCATCGCACCTGTGTCTGTCAGCCTGAGCGACCGCCATGTAAAATTGTAGGTGAGAAGTAAACACCTGGATCAACTGCTGGTTTTTAACGCTCCTTCCAAAAATCGATAGCTTTGAACAGTGGTTCAGTACTGGCCTCTGAATTTAAATGCCACTCTGGAACTCCCCCTTGTTGTGGGCTTCCTTCTAAAAGCTTACTGTCCAGTTATAAAGCAGAGCTCATACATCTCTCTAACAGATTTCATGGTGTTTAATTTACACTACACTGCATTTTATGTGCCAGTCACAAAATGCAGAGCACAGCGTGGACCCTGTGGCCTTTAAATTGAGTCCCAAAGCAAACAAAATATTAAGTACATCTATGAAGCACATTGCTGTGTTTAATAAATGCACTGTTTTGCTGGGTTTTTTAAGCAGTTGTATGTCTGTGGTAAGGCCATAAGGCTGCTTTATAAATTGTCCCCCTCTGTGCAACTGTCCGACTATACTGGACTTAGACAAAGAACAGTAGAGACCTTAGACCAGTGGTTCTCAACCTTTCTAGGGCCGGGACCCCTTGGTAACATTTGCCAAGTTGTGGGGACCCCCAACGGTAAAATTTAGGGATGACGCGGCTGCTGCAGCGACATCTGGCGGCGTGGCGGGAGAACTGACACTGCTACGCTAGGAGAGGGCTGAGGAGGACTCTCACCTAGCACAGCAGAAATCACACAGCGACCCACAGGTTGAGAACCACTGGCGTACCCTGTCAGAATAAAAAAAAAACCACCATAGGAATGCATAGTTAGATTCCTATTGGCTATTTCACTTTCTAATAGCCAATAGCAAACTAGCTATTGCACCAGCCCTCTGCTGCTGTCAATCACTAGAAGGGGACCCCTGCCAAATCGTCATTCGACCTTCGATGGGGTTGAGAACCGCTGCCTTAGACTGTTAGATCCTTTGGGGACAGGGACTGGCTATATGCACTCTATAAAATCAATTTGTTTGTTAAAACTTTGACCATCTGCAATAATGGCTGATAGCCAATGATCATGTTATCTAGGTTGGGAGATGGAAGGAGCAGCTTTTTATTTTTGGCAAGAAATTTACTTTTACATTCAAAATAATATCAGGATTTGGTAACACTGACACATGATCTACCAGTACATAAGAGGCTGATTTACTAAAGGGGTTGAGGATGTAAACATTCACAACGTCTTTAGTAAATCAGTCTCATAGACTGAACTGAATGCAACTTCTACTCACTGATTTTAGATTTTTGATTGTAAACTCTAAGTTGTCAATGGATTTTTGTTTTCTTCTTACTTCATTCTGAAAGCACAGAAAACAGTGTTGAGCAATTTTATGAAGACTTGGAAAAAAAAAATTGGGTTAAAATACAGATTTTGACAAAGAAACGATTTAGTAAAAACTCTTTACATTTAACAATATGCAACTTAACAAAAGAAAATTGATAACAGAAATAAACAGAGAATACTTGTAACTATTAGTAGCAGAAACAGTAGACCTAAGCTTACACACATGTTGGTATGATATGTTATTGTATATGTGAAATGTGGGTGTGCAGGTCCTAAATATTCTGTGAATTTTTAAGTACAATTAAAGAGCCATAACGTGTTCCTAAATTGCCAAGGCCTCAAGGGCATATTTATGAAGCAGTTACCCTTTTAGATTGTAAGCCCTCACGGGCAGGGCCCTCCTTACCATCCTGTATTGAATTGTAATGTCTTCCTTATATTGTAAAGCGCTGCGCAAACTGTTGGTGCTATATAAATCCTGTATAATAATAATAATTTACCAAAAATGTACTGGTGGGGATTTATTCACTGTATATTAAACCACATGCACCAGGAAGATTCAAATGCAGTGAGTGTTTGGTAAGCATCACATTTACTTCTCTCTAAATGTGCCCAACTGCTTTTTAAATAACATTTGTATATTTCTCAATATTGTGGAAATTGTGTCAGAGCCATTTAAATAATATGTGTGCAAGCTTTCAAAGCTTATTTTGCAAGCATAAAAGTGTACAGTAACTTTGGCTACTTTCTGAAATGTGTTCATAAATATTGAAAATATTATCATAGCCAGTCCAAGCACTGCAAAATTTCTGAGCAAGGTGCTATATCATTCTCAAAAGGCTCCCTGGACTCCCTTGCCTGGATGACATGTTGTATAAGGAAACGAAAGGCTAGGACATGCAAGCTGCGTCATGGGGCAGTGTGTCCGGATGTGCTGGAGGAGGACAAAAGAAAAGAAGGGAGCCTGGAGTATTTCAGCCTGTCTATTACTATTTATCTATGTTTAAGGCAAAACAGTTAACATAGCTTTAATTTGTGTCTCAAAAAAAAAAAAAAGCAAGAGTTATCATATAACGCTATGACATACTAAAGCTTTAAATACCTGTCCATCCACTCAAATTTAAACAAGTAGTAGCCACAATCTGGTTTTGGGATGCGAAGGTGCAATGTTAGGTGCCAAAGCAACCCACTGTATTGTTAGGCCCTGTCATTGTCACATCAGGGACTAGGGAGCTTGTCTCTGCCTGGAATAATGGACTTTATGTTTTGGAGCCAAATCATACCTGTTTTGATCTGCACATCAATTCTCTTTGCTTCATCTACTCTTACACCTTAAAGAGCTTCTGCCTCTTTGCCCATTCAGTGCAAAGTGACAGGTTCGCTTGTAAGACAAAAAAAAACATGTATAAGCTCAAAACAGAGCTTACACATAGTCAGGACTCAGCGTAGCAGCAGAACATGAGGAAATGCCTGGGAAGGTAAGCAACAGCGGCTTATAATAAAATACAAAAACTGATACTTTTCTGAATGGGATAGTGACAGTGTCTTTAAAGTGACATTAAGGGCAAAGGTCCCCCCCACACTGCTAATGTAGGGACTTACCTTAAATTATGCCTCTTAATCCCATCTTCTTCTTCTATCCTGTAGTTTTTAGCTGTCCCTCCAGCACTTGTGCGGGTCTCCGATCCAGCGCTGACTCCTCTGTCCTCCTCTTCTCTGATGTCCCACGGAGTCTGTGCAGGTGCACGGTGCTCCATATACTTACCTTGTGTCTCTCCTCGTCTCTCGGTTGAAGATCTGAACTGCGCATGCTCCTGCCCCAACATGCTTTGCGGCCGCCCGAGACATTTTCAGATGTTCGGACGGGAGCACGTGGCAGAGACACAGATAAGTATTAACCCTTTGAAAAAGTTTTGTTTTTTTAAAATTGTTTTGCATATATCTACTGCTTGCTAGCAGTAGATATATGCAAAAACCACTGAGGGTTTAATAACCCTTTAAGAATGTCAATAACACAAATGTAGCAAGATATACAGGGTTATTCACAAAAGGGTGAAGAGTTTGGAGAAGGCAGGAGAAGTGAACAATCTAGGGCAACAAAGTTGAACTGGAAAGTGAGCTGAATTGGAGAATTTTTCCAAATCAGCTATATTGTCCTAGATTGCTCACTTCTCCTGCCTTCTCCAAACCCGTCACCCTTTTGTGAATAACCCTCACCCTTATATGATCATTATGAATAAAGCAAAATACCTCAATATGGTACCGTATATTCATTTAAATGTAATACAGTACTACTAAATGTAATACAATGAAAAATATTTAATGAAAATAGTGCAAGCTTAAGTATACATGTTTTTAAAACAACCACCTTTGTTTCCAACAGATCTTCCTCTGCAGCGTCTAGAGCCTGCTCCTTCTCTTTCTCCATCTGCCCTGCCAGCTTGTCTATCTCTGTGAGTTCTTTGCATAGCTGTTCATTTTTCCTGGTCAGAATATCCACATGACTACTCACAGCCTCCTTATTTTCTGTTAGGTGCAGAATGTGCTGCTCTAGGCTCTGGTTGGTATTCTGAAGTGCATCAATCTACAGAAAACATGACATTACATACATAAACATCACTTGTAGGCAGGGCTGTTCTTTCCATGATGCAAGGTGAGAAACTTGTGGCATCACTATAAGGTTGATAGCGATGGTTCCTATATGTCTCCTCTCCCCATTACACTATTACATCATTAGACCGTTACACTATTACAGTCAATGTCGGCTATTGCAGAAAGCAGGTCAAGTGGAATGATGTCACCTGGATTCCCTGCAGCATGAGAAGTGCCATGATTTTCAGGTCATAGTAGGCAAGCACAGGTTTAAAAGGGACTACATACAAGTCAATATTAACCACATTAGGCTGCTTGTAATAAACCAGCTTTGGACCCTCAGAAGAGTTCTAGTTAATCACCTCAATTTAACAAGGATAGTGAGGAGGCCACTTAATGGCTTCTAACATACAGATTGCACAGAGAAACATCTCCCTTCCCTGCCTGCCCCACAGTGCCAGTGCAGGGATGGATTGCCTTGCATCCCCTGAGGCAATGGAAGGGATATCAGTGTCATGTGATAACAACAATCAAAAGCTCCTTACATTTAATGTTGGAAGTATCAAATGAATGAAGACACTGATAGCGGAGCTCTGATGATGCTTGTGGGACATGACTAGGGGATAACTCTTACCTTGTATTAACTCTAGGGATGCACCGATACAGTTTTTTCGGTATCGAATACCAATATTTTTTTACGGAACTCGCCAATTCCGAATACCGGTACTGTAAGTCCCATTAAGGAAGCCGGGTGGTGTGTAATGACTCGCCGGCCGACTTCCTGATTAGCCGGGAAGCCCTCTCAATGCACCCTCGTCACCAAGTGATGAGGGAGCATGGAGTCGGCTTACTGGCCAATCAGGAAGCCAGGGGGAGAGTCATTACTCACCACCTGGCTCCCTGAATGGTCAGGAAGCCAGCTCCATGCTCCCTTGTGACGAAGGAGCATGGAGCTGGCTTCCCAGCCAATCAGGAAGCCAGGTGGCGTCTCTAATGACTCGCTGCCTGGCTTCCTGATACCAGAATTTCTGGTATTGGGATAAGTATCGGAAGCATTTAGGCAAGAACGAGTATTCGCCCAAATAATTAGGTGCATCCCTAATTAACTCCTTATTTCATAAGTTAATTATGAATAAATGACACTGGTTTACCCCATCCCAGTGTCCTTAGACCAAAACGTGATAACCCTTGAGCCAGTGGGCCTCATTTTCTGTACCCTGCAGGCTCGGCCGCTATATTAGTGAACCAAAAACTATAGCTCAGCCCAGGATTACCCTGCCTTCTACCAGAATGCCTCAGTTTTATGGAAAAGCATTACTGAGAGCGTGATCATAAACACAGAGGGGTAGGACCCGCAGCAGGGTTAAATGTAGAAAAAAAACCACCTGCCTGGCGCCCGGACTGCATGTCTCGGGCGATAGGAATTCCGCACCGCTGGCCCTATTCTTGAACTCAAAGCTCTGAAAGTCTTCATTTGAGTCTAAAGATTCCGCATGTAATTGTGCAGGTTGCACAATTTTTTGCAATCACACCGCACTGGAACGCGCGGCATTGCGGTACTGTTCTGGTGAGAGTGCAAGCACTGAGGACGGGAGGCGCGTTAATGGCGTCTTCAGCACCAGAATTTGTCAGACCGAACTGAAAATTACTCCCACCTTTTTTTTATATTTGGATGGGGAAGGGAGGCTTTATTTCTTTTTTAAACTTTTAATCCCTTTGATCCCCGCTGGGTGCAGCAGGGATCAAAGGTGACACAATGCCAATTAAACACCGGCTCCCAGCATGGAGGAGAGAACTAGGGGACCCAGGCCAACTAATCGATAATGAGAATCATTGACAACGATTTTCATTATTGATGATTACTAGACATGTGCACAGCATAAAAATTTGTTTTGGACAAAGTTGGAGGCGTAGCGCAGATTGTCACATGACGTCGTGCGTGCATGGTGTCAGGTAACGTCATACGAATGTATGGGCGCCGCCATCTTGGTGTATACATGCGTATGGTGGGTTGGGTGGTGCATACATGCGTATGACGCCACCCGTCACGTGCTGTCATGCGCACTACCTACAAGATAGTGGTGCACATGCAGAGAATGTGCCGGTGGCTGATATGGCTGCCACGCATTCTGCAAACAAATTATTATATGCTCGAATATATTTTTAGTATATTCTGGCATATAATAATTTGTTCATTCTGATTTGGACGAACCGCCGAATCCACAGCATTTCGTTGATATGCAAGTTCGTCCGAATGCACATGTCTAATTATTATCAATTAATCGATTTGTTGGTTTCAGCCCTAGCTGCAAGCACTAACTGAACCCAAAGATGATCTAAAAAACATCTGTCCTGAGCTCACAACATAAAGAGTAAAACACACCACAATGTCAATATTAATAGAATAAAAAAATATTGAGGTGTCAATCCTTAGAAAACAAACACAATGGGGGGGAATTTATCAAAACCGGAGCAGACAGAGTCTGGAGCAGTTGCCCATAGTAACCAATCTGCTTCTTTGTTCAGCCAGTTCAGTTAAGCTTTGGAAATGAAAGAGAGAAGATGATTGGTTACTATGAACAACTGCTCCAGATCCTGTCTGCTCCAGTTTGATAAATTCCCTTGTCTGTGAATGAGTAGTGAATCATGCATCAAAACATAAAAGAAATGTCCTCCAATGCACATTAGTGTGTAGAGCCAGGTGAAGGATACAGATTTGATACAGCAGTATCTTTTTCTCACTCTTTATTTAACATTATTAAATGCACAGGTTAAGTTTTTAGATTTTGAATACTGCTTTGTTTTGTCCTACTGTTCTTGAAGTAAACTCTTTTCCTTATTGATTATAAAGAGTGTTGTGGTTTACAGACAGCTCGCTGTTACCTGCCATAGAGCACCACACAGGACTCGCTGGGAGTCAGTTTGCCTAGTGGCAGAGATGTACGCTGACCGCAGCCCCAGCCAAGCTTGTCTCCATGGTAACAGAAGCCTCGTACCTCTCTCTACACACATAGGCAAGGAAGTTCTGCGGCCACTCTGTATGGAATACCTCACTTGTTTTATATTACACCATGCACATGTCTTATAGAATCGCTCACAAACTGTGCTAAGAAACCTCGCAAATCATGTTCAGCAGGGAAATGAAAAATAACAGTAATAAAAGTAGAAAAGTTTTTTTTTTGGGATGCAATAAATGCAAGTTCAGTGGATTGATTACCTTACTCTGCAGCTGTGATATTTTCCTGTGTACAGCATGGTTTCTAGCAGCCATGGTGAGATGATGTGTGTTGGAGGTGAAGCAGAGTCTTCTCTGTCCACACTATGCCCGCCTCCCGGTCACAGGCTGCCCCACTCCCGCACTTTTCCTGTCCTTCCCTCCTCACTGCTCCTGTGTTGTCACTATAGCCGGCTACAGTAAATCCATCTGTCCCTGTCATCCCTCCCACAACAATTCCTGGGGCCACCTGGAGACCAGGCACTTCTGCCAAGCACAGGGTGTGCCTGTCTATGTAAATGCTCCTCACGTCTGTGGGTTCACCTAGCAGTGATGGACAACCTGTCACAAGCAAACCCAGAAAGGAGAATGTATCAAAACTGCAGTAGACAAAATCTGGAGCAGTTGCCCCGGGCAACCAATCAGCTTCGCTCTTCAGTTTGCTTAGTAAAGCTTTGAAAATGAAAGAGAGATGCTGATTGGTTGTCATGCACAGCTGCTCCAGATTTTGCCTGCTCCAGTTTTCATAAACTCTACTCTCAGTATATAAACCATACTAAACTTGGTTCCCCCCGCCAATAAATCACCATTCATTTAAAAATAAAGTAGAACTGAAGCTAAAAGGTTTTTTTTTAGCTTTGGATAGAGTAAAGGAAAGTTATAACCCCTGTCAGCTTTAGGCCTCATTCACACATAACGCAAGCACAATTGTATATTGCGTATATATGCGTCTATGCGTGTATAAACGAGCGTATATGCGTGCACTATATGCAATCCCAGAATGCATCACTCGTAATGAAATTTTTAATGTACTGTACGTATGCACGTATATGCACGCGTATATGCGCGTAAATACGCTGCCCGGACGCATCTCTGTTCCATTCTGTTTTTGCGCATATATACGCTATGCAAATATATGGCTCCATACGCGGCTGTGTGTATGGAGTAATTTATTTGCATATGTTGCATATGGTACAATACGCACGTACGCGCGTATATGCGCGGCAGTGTGAATGAGGCCTAATTCTGTCATCTGAGTCCCATAGGGAAAATCCCTCCAAAGTAAGGGAAATCCCTGGTGTCCCTATTGGAAGAATTCCTATCTATTTCTGTTCTGGTGACAACCCAGTTTGGGGTTTTATTTCACTTTCAGTGATAACGATCACTAGGACAAAAAGAGAAGGTGAATCTCCCCAACAAGGGACACAGACAGCAATAAAAACCTGACCGGGGTTCGAATCCAGGGGTGGGCAACTCTGGCCCTCCAGCTGTTGTGAAACTACAAGTCCCATGTGGCATTGTAAGACTGACGGCTACAGGTATTCAAAAAACCAAGAAAGGGCGCAGAGAACACTGGCTAGTTAACAAAGTAGTGATGAAAAACTGAAGGTGGTGGCACTTACGTGTGAATGCCAGGATCTGGAGATGGACGGCCGGTATGGAGGATCAGGGCACTCGTGGTGTGGTGTCCGACTGTGATCGATGTATTAATCCAAGAGGTATATCCACGGGAGAGTGTAGATGAGAAGAGGGGACTTCGTCTGAAGTGCCGTGAGGGGTCTGTGCGGTGTGGGAGAGAGGCAGGGGGATCGCTGTGTTATCGGCAATAGGCAGCGGGCAATGGACGGGGCTGTAACAAACGCCTACAGGTATGGCTACCAGAGGCATGTTGGGATTTGTAGTTAAAGCACAGCTGGAGGGCGGGAGTTGCCCACCCCTGGTCTAATCCCTCTCCATTTGATTCAAAACTTAAGTGTTGGCTTCAGTTGAACTTTAAGGCCCCATTCACACGTAGCGACATACCTTTTGCGGCGGCCTGGATAGCGCGACTTTCGGAGCGACGTTCCAGCGACGGTAGCGCGACCTTCTCTGTCGGGCTCCATTGGAAAAAAGCAAAATCCGCCGAAAAAAGGGTCCTGTAGAAGCGACTTGCGACCGCGACGAGCGACATGGAGCTAAGACAGCTCCATTGAATATCATTAGCCGGCGACTTCGTGCGATATCGCGCGGCAAAAATGCGCGATATCGCGATGGAAATCGCGCGATATATCGCTACGTATGAATGGGGTGTTAAGGAGAACTATGAGGTGAGTGCTTTTCACTCGCCTCATACAGGTGAAACTCGAATAATTAGAATATCGTGCAAAAGTAATTGCAGTAAGTGCTGCAAAGGGGGCCCAAACCAAGACTTTTAGGTTCCATTCATATATGAGCGGTTTTCCGTGCGTAATCGGCCATACGAATATGTGCGGTACCATGCTAAACATAAAAAACAATGCATTGCCATGTTCATTGTTCAGACTGTTGGTACGAAACCGCGTCCCGCAAAATAGTCCATGCGCGATTTATAGTAATAGCTGCTCCTTGCAGAATACGCTGCCGCTATGTGTGAATTTCATTCTGCTACATTTGAATGGGACAACACAGCATTTGACAAAACAAAGGCTGCGTTTGGCCTGCTTTGCCTGCAGCTCTAATGCGCCATCTCACAGGCTGCATCCAAAAAAAATGCAACGCAAAGCAAGTCAAAAGTAGCCTCTGACCTGCCATGTGTGCTGCTCCGATAAAGTAGAACTATAGGCAAAGATAAAAATAAAGACATAGGAGTGAGTTTGTCAATAGTATTAATAGGCCACTTGCCCCACATACATTAGGGCTCATCCACACGGGTGCACGGACCCATACATCTGTGCAGGGGGATATGTTTATGTGCCTGGGGAGATATCATGCATTCATCACTGTATGGCTGTAAACACTGGCATATGAGTTAGGGTTGTCACCTTCTCTTCCAGCGAAACCCGAACACTCTAGTGACGCACAGAAATTTTTGGGGAGAATGAGTCGTGTTTTTTTCATATGTAAATAGCGCCACGCATTAATATGTAAATATCACAGTCCAGACTATTTTCAGTGGGGGGCCAATAGCTCTTATCTTAATTTTGGTTGCTCCAGAAAAATGCACACCACAGTGCTCAACAGACTCCCAATGATATTCTCCACCAACAATCGTTTGCAGGCTGCCGTCATCAAAAGGCCACTGAGAAGTACCGTATTTTGGGGTCTATAAGACGCTCCGGACGATAGGACGCAGGGCTTCTGTGACAGAAATTCTGTCACAGAAGCTGCAGTTAGTGACCGCTGAGACAGGTGGCACTGTCTCAGTAATCACACAGAGAAGACGAAGAGCGATGTTCTTCATCTGCTCAAGGGGCTCTATGGTGAGCTCCTATGGGGGACCGCCGCCGCTCGATTTAATAAAAGGGATCTAATTATATCCCTTGTATTAAACGAGCAGCGGCTCCCACTGTACATTCAGCTCTGCTTGTCAGGAGCAGGGCTGAATGTACAAAAAGAAACTACTCGCCCGGAGCCCGAAACTGCATGTCCCGGGCGTCGGGCGATAGGTATTCGATCCATAAGACGCAGGCACATTTTCCCCCTCCTTTTGGGGGAAAAAAAGTGCGACTTATGGAGCGAAAACTACGGTATTCCTCACAAAACAAACAGAAAGCGCCTTGTCCTCGTGTAATACCATTTATTAATCAATGAACATACAAGCTGACATAAAATACATCACATGGTAATCACTGAATGAATGGTACAAGGCAGACCCCAAATGGTATTACACGAGGACAAGGCGCTGTCTGTTTGTTTGTCTTGCTTAATTTTGGTTGCCCCTGTCTGCCTGACATCTTTTGTCCGGGTTTCACATGCCATAAAACCCGGCACAGCATTCAAAACCCAGACTGTCCGGGTGAATCCCAGACAGGTGGCAAACCTTAATGTGATTGAAGATACATGGAGTCCTGGCCTAGCATTGGGGGGAATTTACTACCGTGTTTCCCCGAAAGTAAGACCTACCCCGAAAATAAGACCTAGCACTATCTTCGGGGATTTCTGTAATATAAGACCTACCCCGAAAATAAGACCTAGTTCGGTGGTAGGTCTTATATTACAGAGATCCGCTAGGTCTTACTTTCGGGGAAGCGGCACATAACTGTGTAAAAACCGGCCGCAGCTCCCTAGGAGCAGTTGCCCATGGTAACCAATGAGCTTTTCTCTTCAGTCTGTTCAGTTAACCTTTAAAAATAAAAGAGAGAAGCTGGCTGGTTACTATGGGCAACTGCTCCAGATTCTATCTGCTTCCGTTTTGACGAATTCCCCTCAATGATTTTAACATGCAGCTTCACAGAACACCTGTGCCTCCCTGGGCGCATAGGCATGCCCCCCTCTGCACATATGTATGGATCTCTGCGTCTGTGTAAATGAGCCCTTAGTGCAGTCCTAGTACATAGACAAGTCAAATATTCTTGTTTACTGTGGACTTAGTTCACAGCACCATGTTGCAGTGGTGTGCACGGTACACGCAGTACTTTTCCCCCCGCAGCGTGTTGCAGCGCAGTACACCACATCACAATGCCATGGAGTGAATAGAACATAATAAAATGTCACTTTGTGACACGATTTAAATAAAAAAGGTAAATAGTGCGATGTGTTTATATGAATGCATTGCACCGCTTCCCGCATGCTGCAAGTGTGAACAGAGCCTAAGGTCTCATTTCAGACTAATTAGATCTGGCAATGGATTCGGCAAAGATTCTTGTGGCTGGAATCTCAGGTGGTTCTGGGCAGATTGCGTCCAGGGCCGCATCATCTGTCCCTAGCCGCAGGTAACCGCTGGATGTGCCGGATACATGTGAAAAGCTGCAGACAGCTCCTGTCATCCTGTAATTGCTCTGTACAGGATGAGCAGCCTAAGGTGTCCACAACCACCTGTGATTCCAGCCATGAGAAGCCGCAGATTCATCCGAATGATCTTGTGAGAATAAGCCCACGGTCCCCCCTGTAACATAGCTGTACCTGGTAATCCGGCCAGAAGGTCTGTTACTTCTCAACTTCCTTTAACAGACCAAACTGTCCAGTAAAGTGGCAGAGGGTCGAGATAAACCATTTACCACTGACAGGGGTGTTTATAATGTGCACCTTGTAGGTCAAAATGTTATCCCAAAATGAATACAAACTTGTTTCTGTAACTGTTTATCGTTATGTTTTCATAC